GAGAGAGAGAGAGAGAGAGAGAGAGCTTTAATGTTCAACTGTCAGACCCTCCCACAAGACCTGGCTCTTTCTGACTGCTCCATCTCAGCAGCCTCTGATAACTTAGGCTGTTCATTTACTGTCCCAAGCAGTGCCATGCTCAAACATGCCACATTGTTTCCTTAACTGGTGGCAATGTAGATGTATTCATGTAGTGCTGTGCCTAGCTTAATCGTCACTGCTTTGGCCTACTTTTGGTTCAGAAGGTAGCATGGAAAAAGCAGCATGACATTTTTCAGCATAGCACTGCCTGCCATGGCAAGTAAGCAGCATCACTTCTTAGCTATAGATTCCCAGTTATGTAGGATAACAGTACATCTTGTGACTGGAGCTAGTGAGCGGAATCTTTCCAAGTTATGACTCGGCTTTTTTTTCTGTTGTGTTTGTCAGGAGGTGTTTTATCTGTACCCTTTATCTGGCCTTCCTGGCTGTTTTACAAGGCCTGCTGTTGAACTAGACTAACTTGTACAGTCAAGCTTTCAGTAATCCAATAGAGCTATCCAGTCCCTATCCCTTTTAACAAGACCTGCTTGAAATGCATGATATTCACAGAGCAGTGCTGAGGCTCTCTGCTACCCTAATACATGTACTAGTGTAGATTTGTCCCAACATTTGGCATGTCTTGTATGCAGATTTACAGTGCCTGTAAAGTTCACTGAGCATTTAAAATTGATGCTTTTACCACCAGGTCAGTCAAAGTTAGTGGGTAATCAATAGGTTCCTGATTTACTAACTAGAGTGTGGGTGATCAATAAGGGATAAACCTGAATGAAATACATGTTACAAGACAATTTATGACCTCTGAGCCTTTGTATATTAGCAGTTGTGCTACTAGATGTGGCATCATTGTTACCGTCATGTTTTTTTCTCCAACTGGAAAGTGGCTTCACCTTTTACTGTAGTGAGAGATTCTGAAACTTCCTCTATTATGAGTCTTCCTTTTTCTTTGCAATTGCAATAAAGAGGTGACTGAGGTTAGAGCACAGAGCTGAGCTGGGGATCTCCTATCTCTATTTTCTGGGGGTTAGTGCAAATTGCTTAGCATCTCTGTCTCCATGGGGGTGCTTGTGCCCACCTCCTCTCCAGGAACATTGTGAGGACTAAAATTAGTTAATGTTTGCACAGTTATAAAGATAAAAAGTGTTATAGAAGTGCTATATATTTTGTTTTCTATAGTATTGTAGCGTGTTTCATATAGTTCTCTAGCTAGTAATCTAATCTTGCTTTATTGACACTAAGGTGCAAAATAAAAATCTTAGGCTATAAAATGTTAAGCTTTTATTTCTCATGGACACCTGGAGTCAAAAGACCCATAAAAATATGCTGCAGTTATATCAGATTCTGTGAACTGTTACTGTGTTTTTGTTCACAGTTGGATATTTGCATGTACAGAGGTCACTTAAGTGTCCAGTTAGCCAGTTGTATGCATAAATACCTGATCCATGTGCATAATCATTAAACAAACGTTTCTGAAAAACTTTACCCTTTTCGGTCAAATTTTCAATAGCTTTCAGCTTCCTGCACATGCTGATCTGCACTCAGAAAACTGACCAATTTATACATTGGCTCTTAGTGGGACGTGACTTAATTTTTTTTTTTTTTAATTGTCCTGTGAATAACATTTTTTTTTTTTTTTTTTTTAGTTTCATACAGGTGACAAATCTCATAGAACTGTATGGGACTGCCTGGGCCACTGGGTCCAGTCCTCTGTAATGAATGTTTTGTCCAGAGGGTCCATAAGAGCATCTGCTGTGTCCCCTTTCGCACTCTACAGCCATAATGCACCTGACTTAAAAACAAAAAAAAATTCCAAAATCCATTCCTAGAAACCTTCAGTGCTACAGGAGGAGAGCAGGATAGATAAATGTTGCCATTGCACTGGCAGGGAATTTGTTGGGCAAAATACACTTATATGATTCCAGGAAGTGGACTATATTCCCACTCTGTAGAGCAGAGCTGTTCGACTTTGTGGCTGGGGGCCATGTGCAGTGCCAAAGTACAGCCCCTGTGCCACACATGGTGCAGGCTTTATGCTGTAGGCCGGGGCCCCCAGGATGCCATCCAGCCCCAACTCTGTGGGTGCACCAGCGGCCCACGGCTCTCTGGACCCTACCTCTCAGCACAGGAATGAGAGAGGCAGCTACAAGGGCCTGTGGGCCAGATGTTAACCCCTTGCAGGATCTGTTGCAGCTACTGGGTTGCCATGGACAGCCCTGCTGTACAGAGAGAGACAGACAGACAACTCCAGTGGTCTTTTCCAGTCTGACCTGAGTGAAAATTACCTCCTGGGCTTACAGCTAGCAGTGTGTTTAACCCAGAACAATTTATACCAATCAAGCATCTGCGACAGAACTGAGTACCATTAGGAGTACTAATGCATCCAAGTCAATGTCCAGTGCTTCAGAGTAAGATTAAGCACCCCCAGAAGCCAAGTGATATATTCAAGGGTGGGGGTGGAAGTCTTTTTGATCCCTGCAGGTGACTAGCAGAAGCCCTGAAGCATGGGATTACCAGGCATCTCCTGCATATGTCAGTCCTCTGCATGGTTATCGTGCCTTTTTATGGGGATATAAAATGCTTGAAATCTGGTGTCGCATGCTCTGATGGCTGCTCCAAGAACACCCTTATTCTGTTGCATTGCCCCTTCCATAAACTTACCAAGACCATCTTGGGGCAGTTCATGTGACTCACCCCCACTGCTTGAATTGAAAAAATATTCCAGAACATCACTTCACAGTGCAAAATGCAGAGTCGGGGGCACTTGAGGCAGGCGATAGCAAACGCACAAGAGGAGCGGGCATCTGAAATATACTACCTCTCCTCCAGACAGAAACAGTATTTAGGCGCCTTCCTGCAACCTTAAGTTAGGTGCTTGCATGAGACTGGGATTCGCAGCCTGAATCCCCCGCTCATTCTTAAATGCGGAAGTCATCACTCTGGTGCATGTGCCTGACTATATAGCTTAGGGAGAAAGGGAGCCTTGGGTTTCAGTCCTCGCTCCTGGGACCTCTTACACATTTGTCATTAAATGAAAAGCATTTGAAGCAGGAACTGTAATGGGGGAGCTCCCAGGGGTATGTCCTCTTCTCTAGGCTATGATCAA